TTATCATGGAGACGCATTCCTCTACGACTGGTGAAATGAACCGACACAGACGCGAGGTCATTCGGTCATCAACTCATTCACAAAAGCGATGCCATGAAGGCTCTGAGTCTAACACACACACACACACACAAGCGAGAGTGACCGTCATCCATCCTTTAAAGGCCCTCCTCCCCCTCCACTACTCACACACATACTGCCCGGCCAGCGACACACGCAACATCAATCGCCAAGCAGCACCCTCACCACATCACCGTCCCCCTGTCGATGACGTCACTCTCCAGATTGTACCGCCGCAGCACACGGCGCCACACGGGCTCCGAGATGGGAAAGCGGTGGGCGAGTGATGCAGACCTATTGGCAGCAGATGGCTCATAGTGTACAGCTGGATGCAGCCCGGCGTCACCCTCAGATGGGCAGCGACGGTCTCGCCTGGTCTGAAGCCGCTCACTACCACACGACGACAGTCAGTCGCACCAGCAGCATCCAGATCGCCCCGGTCGTAACGCCAGTCGGCGACGATGCCCAGATCCTCTGTGATGGAGTCAGTCCTCAGCAGACGGCCATAGCGAGCGTCATCACGGCCGATGTGTGAAGTGAGCACCAGCCTCTGACCCACCCCCTCTCCATCCCACCACCTGACGAGCAGCCTCTCAAGCAGGAATGCTGCCGAGAAGGAGGGGTAGAGGTTGCCGCCCCGTCGGATGGCGGGATCGGTCCTCTTGTAGCCGTCAGCATAAGGATGGCCGCCCGGCAGCTCACCCAACGGCACCACACGAAAGGTCATGTTGCCAATCCGATAGTGTCCGTTGTCGGCCGGCTGCAGCGCCAGGCTGTGTGTGTTGTGTGTGAGCAGGTGGCCGAACAGCCGATAGATGGCCATCGCCAATGGCAGCTGGTGGAATGCCGTCCTGCTGGGAAGGTGGGCTGTCAGCCACTGAGCCGACAGCACCAGGGGCAGCCCGTTGGCAGGCGTCAGCCGATAGATGGCGGCCAGCCGGATGAACCGCCCCATCCCAGGCCACTCGTTGCTGCCCTGCTCCAGCACATAGGCCGCCCGCAGCACATAGGTGAATGGGAGAGGGGCGGTGCGGTCGATGTCGATGAGGCCGGTGAGGGAGCGGCGGGCGAGGGAGCCGTCGATGCGCTCCATCAGCAGCACAGCGGTCGTCACTAGAGCCGCCTTCGCCCGGCAGGTCGCTCGGACACAGACCGCCTCATGGACGAGAAGGGACGGCAGAATGCGCCGGCGCCACAGGTCGTCGGGCAACGAATCAGACATCGCCACAATCACTCAGTCAGCACATGAAAGGCCAGCGGCTGAATGAGCTTCAGCGTGGCGTGCCTGTGAGAGAGATCTGCATCCACACAAACATAGTTGACAGCGCAACCAACAAACCCAGTTTTCTGCTCGCCCGGATCGGCCTGCGAGCTAAGTTGGCGCAATTCGTGGGCCTGCCTGCGGGCTTCCCCTTTTTTTCGCATTCCGGTGCCAACAGGGCGGTGGTGGGTCTGTGTGACATACACAAAGACGCGCTGTGATGGTATCAATCGGCACAGATGTCGGCATCATCGCTCTGGCTGCAGCTGATCTGAGGACGAGGTGTAAAGGGAGGACAAGCCGGAGGGGGATCACAGGGTCAGCGATGCCACTGTGTGTGTTTTCTGTGTGTTTGTGGCAGGTTTGAGATACCTCATTGCGTTGTTGATCTTTGCCGGTGGCAGACAGAGGTACATCTACAGAGAGAAGAGGGCGTGCATCATCAGCGTGTGTTCACGCGGTGTGTTCTTGACAGGCTGACGATCCGTTTGTTGTGTCGGTTGTCGAGCGAATCGGATGCTGATTGAGTTGCGATACCAAACGGGCTGGCCCAATTGTGCGGTGCACTACTGTCCTCACGGACAAGGCACATGGCGGGACGTCCACATGAAGGTCCGCAAGGCACACACAAAGGGGTCGGAGGGAATCAGTCCGCGTACATTGAGTGTGTGCATGTGTCTGTCTGTCTGTCTGTCTGTCTGTCTGTGTGCTTACCCTCGGTGACCAGGGCGTTGGGCGCGGCTGGGTGAAGGTTCGTGTTGAGGTCCCTGATGAGAGCGGCGGGATGGAATTCGTCATGCACGACGGGCGAGGGTCCTGGGACAACCCACCAACCTGGTACGGACACACAGACAGCATCGATGCCGTGAATGGTTAGACAACACACACAGTCAGTGCAGCTCTCTCTCTCTCTCTCTCTGCGTGTGTGTGTAGGTACGGCCACCTCAACTATCAGGTGTTTGTCACCTCTCGCCCGCCCCCCGCCCTCCTCATCGTCACACTCATGAACGGCACCATCAATGGTTCGCAGAAGCAATGCATAATGTGCCTGAAACCGCTGTCTATATGTTTGTGTCTGTGTGTGTGTGTGCCAGTTGAGCGCGCCATCAGTGCCGCTGATGTGCCGCAGCACCTCGCAATCACCATCGCCGAGTACGTCAAGAGCTACTCGCAGCTGGAGGCCCTCATCGACGCCCATCCCACACAATTCACCGCCGCCGTCCTCTTGCCCATCCTCACACGACTGCTGCCCTTCATGGTGGCCACTATCTTTGGCGGCCTGGTGCAGGTGCCCCTTTACCAGCTGACCCAGGGCGGGGCCACCAGTGCCGTTGTCGAGCAGCTGACCCGGCTGCTGTTCACGCTGGAGTATGGTGGCGATTGGGCAAGGTGTCGGCCGCATCTGCAGCTACTCTATCACCTTTGCGGCAAGGTGCCGTTGGTGCTGCGGCATGATTACCTCAGCGTGTTCGGCAGCCGGACGGCCTTCGTCGGCCGGAGCGAGGCGGTCCGCCAGTGGAAGATACTCAGCCGGGGGTTGACTTTCCATAGTGGAGGACAACAGATACGTCTGATGTCCGGCATCAAGATTCTCGACTCGTGGCACTACGAATACCGTCTGCCCTCCTGTATCGCCAGTCCCAGCCCACTTTTTCCTGACACGTTTGACCCCGCCGACCGGCCCACGCAGATGGACAGCTGGACGTATTGCACTTACTCGTCGATGGTGGCTTTCGTCCTGGTCGATTGGCTCCGTCGCGGCCGCCAAAACCAGAACCTCCGGCGCATCCGGTGGTTGTGGTGTTTCTGCCCTTCTTCCGCCGCATACCGTCGTGTAAATGAGCTGCTGATGGCCTCTCACAACAACAACGGAGTGGCACAGTGGGGGCCAGGGGTGACGATCTTCGACAAGAAGCGTGAGGGGGCACGCCATGAGCGGCTGGTGGTCTTGGGGAGTGAGGCGATCGACGAGGGGAAGATGGCAGCGATTTGGCTGGCGAGAGAGAGAGGGGATGGGGATGATGATGCACGAAAGATTGTCATCTTCACGACCGAGTCGGCCCCGCATGACCGCACGCGTGTTGCCGTGATGGGTGTGTTGGGGGATGACCTGGGAGACACAGTGTGGTGGGAACGGGTTGAGAGGTGAATTGGTCAAGGGAGGCAGAAGAGAGTTCCTCACTGTCTTCCTCATCGGTCAGCGGACAGACAGACAGACAGACAGACAGACCGCGTCTGATGGACGAAACCATGCAGTGTGTGAGTGCTCGGTGCGTGCCTCCCGCCCACGGGTGACCTTCGACGACAGTGATGGGCTGTAATGGGGATAGATGGATGGATGGATTGCTGTATTGTTTGTTTGAGTGCGTGCGCGTGTTGACATGACGTTAATTCGCTTTCGACATGTATGGCCAGCGCACACACACACGCATGCGCATCCACGACGGATGGACTGTGACGCATCATACAAACGATCCGCACCTGTACCCCTCCCTCTCTCCCGCCCCCCTCCTAGTCGAGTGAGTGGCTGTTGCACGTCTAAGCTTGCAAGTAAATCGGGTCGTTGTGCTGGGAGGCTTTTTTCCCATTGCAGGCGAACGCGGGGATGGCTGGGGTGCTTGTTAAGGCCCTATTATACGTGGGGCCTGCTAATTTTGTCTTCGTGCGTGTGCCACATGGAGGGGTGTGCTGTGTGTGCGGTAGCCCGTCTGTCTGTCTGTCTGTCTGTGCGTCGATCGGGAAGCGCATACGTTGTTTGTACTGCTGACAGGTGTCACTGCTGTGATCTGCCTGTGTCCATGAGCTTGTCTGCATCGATCGTCGATCGACCGTGTGGCTTTGGTTGAAGAAACTGAAAAAGGTCTCACCCACTCACTCACTCAGAGGTCAGACAGTCTCTCTGTGCGATCCCTCGTACGCACCCCCATGCACACACACGCGTATGCACACACGTTGTGTCTCACGCACGACTGACACAGAGGGGGCGGGGAGGGAGGCAGGCATATATAGTATATCACGCACTCACACTCATCTCATCCGCCACAATCGACAAGCACCTACTCCCATCGGGTGGTAAGAAAATACACACACGCATGGCAGGGCTACATAGCATACACGCAATGCTCTCTGTGTGGCTTTGTGGCTCTCTGTGCGGCCGCCTTGCTTCACACAAAGGAAAACAAAACCACACAAGGCACACGATTGCGTCATCCACCTCATCGATCCCATACCGTATCGACACACAATAAAAAGGCGAGTACTAGATAGACCACACGAGACCAACTCCACACACAAACACACTGACACTGACACTGCACGGACCTCTCTCTCATGGCATCTCGTCTAAGGCCCGCCGATTCCGGCGGGGACGCTGCCCGGCACCTCACCAATGCCGCTCCCAAGTGGCGCCACGCCAGTGCCAGGGGCGCCGATGGCATTGCCCGCCGCACCCCCGTTGACCACCGGCTGGACGTACTGCACCGGGGGCGGGGCCCCCGCTGCTGCCACTGCTTGGCTGTAGGGGTAGGGATTGTAGGCCATCCCGAGGTAGGGCCTCTGTGCGTCAAGGTAGGGGTTCAGCCTGACTGCAATGCACAGACAGACAGACAACACACAACGTGTGTGGTGTGTGTCGCCGGTGTGGCGTCGTGGAGTGGTGCACTGGTGGTCACTTACAGGTGATACCGCCGCAGGACTGCACGAGACACAGCTTGCCGACCTTAGACCTGTACTGACCCAAACGACGCCGATCCCCTACAAACACACACACTCACACAGCACAAAGCCGTGTCAGTCAGGCATGTCTCTGTCTCTCCCTCTGTTATGTTACCTCCGTCGTCTTCTTGCTGGTCATCGCCCTTGTCGCTGCTGCTGGAGCCGCCCTCCTCGGCACCGATGCGGGGCTTCTTGTCAGCACCTGCACAGCACAGACCAGGTGTGGATCGTCGTCCATGTGTTTATCGTCAACACGCACTCAGTTGGTTTGCGTCTGCTTCAGGCTGCTCAGGTTGCCACTGATATACACACACATTACGGCGCAACACAGACATGTGTGAGTGTGTGTGCCTGCCTGCATACAAGTGTGTGTCCTCACCTCCACAACGCCCTGTGTGCGGCCACAGCCGTCCGCAACGCTCGCCGAAGCTGAAAAGACACACACATTTGCCAACCAAGCAGCAAAGAAGAGTGGCTCAGACACTTACGTACCTTTCTCGACGGTGAGTGTCCAGGGGGCGAGTTTCTCGATCAGAGGGTCGCAGTCCTGTTTGTTCGCACATTCATCGAGGCAGGCCTGTTCGGAAGCACCACATGTTTGCACTGCACTTACGATTTCGTTCCACTCCTCCTGAGTCTCCTGATCCAGACGATATATCTCATCCTGTGCGTGGGCAGACAGACAGACAGACAGACAGACACGAATGGATGGATGGATGGACGGACGGACGGACGAGTGGAAAGTGTATACCTCGCTCAGTGGGGCAGACGGTGTCAGCAAGACGATGACATTGCCTGGGTGCATGGGGAGACGCACATACCCATCCCCATTGGTATGTGTGGGCTATGTTATGTTATGTATGGTGGGTGTCTGCCCACCTGTCCTCTCGTCCTGTTGGGCAGAGATGACACCGAACCAGCCGTCTCGCCCACCCAACAGCTGCACTCACTCATTGACAAACACACACGCATCCATGACTGAGTGTTCGTCTCGGTGGGTGTGCGTGTGGCCGCGCCTGCATGGTGAGTGCGCCGAAGGATGATATCTCCTCCATGTTGGCCTCGTACAGGTCAGGGATGGACATCATGCCTACGTAACACACACAATGTGACGGAAGGAGCGCACTTGTGTGTGGTGCATCTGCCGACTGGACTGACTGACCGATGGGCTCGGTGCTCGATGAGGGCACAGCGGGGAAAGCTGGGGGCGGGTACGCACCGGTCTGGTTGACGCGTGCAGCCTCCTTGCTGTTGCCCCCAGCAGCACCCAGACACACCACTGCACACACACGCGCGCGCACATGTGCACATTCACGCGCCCATGGGTATGTCCGTACGCACCGGTGAGTGCTGCCGATACGGCTATGAGGGCGACAGTGAGAGCCACCGACAGCCACGCTAAAAAACGATTTGTGCCGTTCTGGCGCTGCTTGCCGTTGCTGCTGGTGAGGGGGCCTGCATGTGGGGAGAACGGCGCATACAAACATACGTTGGCAGAACGAATGCGTGCAGTGCGTGTGTGTGTGTGTGAGTGTGTGTGTGTGTACCTGTGGTGTGGATGTCGCTGACGGCGATTTCCTCATCGTGCGAAGCGTTGCTCGACAGCATCATCCTCTTGATGACAGCAAAGGCAAAGGAAAGGGCAAACAAGGGGAATGAATGCACTCACTTCGACACGCTCACTCAGGCACACGCACACCAACTAGACTCTGCTTCACGCTCGAGGCCTCCTCCACGCACACGCACACGCACACGCACACGCACTCACGAGATGGAAGGTAGGGTAGGGTATGGAAGGATGTACGGGAGGAAAAGGCTTGCTACAGACAGTCACAGACTGATGATGCGATAACAGGTGCGATAAGGGTGCGAAGGAAGGACACAAGAAAACCCGATGAACCGAAGCCGATCGCTCTCACCCTGCACACCGTACACAACCGAAAATTGTAAATCCGCGACAAAACGTGTCAGAAAAGCGTTCGCCGCAGGGGGGGGGGGGGGCGCAGGTTAGCTATTGTTGGCCTCGTCGTGGTCGGGTCGGAAGCGGACCGGCGGGATCTTTTCGCGTGCGGGGGCAAGAGGCCGAGCTCGCAAGCTGCCCCCAGTCTCGAGAGCGCTGTGCAATGAGCGACGAGAGTGATCAGGAGTACGCGGCAGGGGAAATGGTGGATCCGCCCCCCTTGCTCCATGGGCATGATGCCATCGGGCCGATGAGCATGGCTGACGAACTTCAAGAAGGAGAGAATCTGATGCTGTCTGGCCTTGGGCCAGTGCTCGGGAAGGAGGCGAGCCGGTGGCAACCAAAGCAGGCAACGACGTATGCACGCGTCTATGGACAGCATGTGAATGCATGTACAGTAAGTATGCAAATCCATCTTCCTCTCTGTGTGTGTCTGTGTGCAGGGGCACCCAGCCACAGGCAGACGTCGACCTGCGCCGAATGCGGCAGAACGAACGAATGAAGTCAGACGGAGGCAGGAGAGGCAGCCAATGCTGCAGACGCCATATCCACCACCCAATACGCGCGTATGTTGTTGTGCAGGCAGGAGTGGTCTCGGCTGCAAACCAACTTGCAGCGCGCCATGGATGGCTTGCGTGTGCAGGAGACGGGTAAGTAAGCGGGTCAGCCAGTGCTTGCCAAGTGGAGTGGTGGCAAGGCAAGATGAACACATCCCACATCGGATGGAATGGATATATACCTCACTCAGCTGCCAAGGAGGCGGCCGCTCATGAAGGTGAAGGAGACGAGGCGGCCAGGGAATACAACCGGCAGGAGATTCAGAGGGCCTGGAAACGGTACACACACACAGACCTACAGTGCGCACACCACACGTACAGGCACAAACTCTGATATGCGATTAATTGGGTGTGTGTGGGAATGGCGGCGTGGCGTGCAGTGTGTCCGAGTGCGAGAGCCGCGTCCACGCACACGAGCTGCAGATGAGAGAGATGGACGTGCAGATTCCGGGCATTCACAGAAAGGGAGAGGCGGACAAAGACCAACACACACGGGAAGCAGCAACTGCTGCAGCGCACAAGTAACCCCCTCTCTCCCCCAACACAAACACACCACACCCAGATTGAGCAGACGCACCCTACACATATATTGGTGTGTGCCACCGTCCTCGTGATTGGTGTGTAGGCTTGCAGGTGAGAAGAGAAAAGCGGAAGAGAAGCGCGGCAAGAGGGCGTTGAAGGACCTGCAGCACAAGATCGACGTGACACGCAAAGAGGTACCCGTGCAGTGCACATATAGGCCTTCCTGCCTGCCTGCCTGCGTGCAGACAGCGCAACAGTATTACGCGTTTGTGCGTGCAGGTGGCAGGAAAACCTTCTTATGAGGGCGAGACGGACGGCCAGCGGATGGCCAAAATGAGACTGAAGAAAGTGCAGGTACCTGCATTTGTTGGTCCATCCACCGATCCATCCCGTTCGCAGAACATGGCTTGTGGACCTCTAAATGTGTGTGTGCACACGACAGTCGGCCATGAGGCACGACGAGGCGCTTGTGCGTGAGGCAGAGGAGGACGAGTTCACTGCAAAGGCAGACAGGATCGTGAATCTCAAAGGCAACATTGACAAGGCACGTTTCCCCTCCTCCCCCCCCCCCCACACACACACAGGGATGACATGCGAGGATGTCTGCATGAATGGAATGTGCATTCATTCATTCAGGTGAAATCTCATTTGTCGGCAGTGCGCGCGCGTCACGTCAAGGCCGAGAATGCAATGAAGGAGAGGCTGGAAAGGGACAAAGAGCGGCTTATGAGGTAGGCAGGGTACTTGGGGCCACCCAATCCGCACAGAGGGAGGCACCTATGTGTGAATGCGTGTATATCCATTCATTCAGCGAGGGCATCAACCCCTATGAGATTTTCAGACGCGAGGCTCTCAAGAAACAACAGGCAGGCAGGCAGGCAGCCACAATCCGCCACACTGCAAATGTGAGTATGTGTTCCCGCATGTCCACACACCACAGGACAGCACGCACAGCGCAGCAGAGGGGAGGTTGCGTGAGGGCCGCGAGGTGCTCGCCCGAAGGATGGCCGCAGAGGAACACACACACAACAAAGACGAACAGAAAAGACGGTCGGTCCGTCGGTGTGCACCATACACACAGATACACACAGGTACACGTACACGCATGTACGTGTGTATGTTTGCAGGAGAGCTCTGGCCGAGCGACTGTCACAGCGCGCTGCAGCTGGTGAGTACACACAGGGGTGTCAGTGTGTATTTATGCCCTTGCATGGTTCTCAGCACTGCTTTGCGCATTCAGGTGGCCTGAACAAGGACCAGCAGAACGCGAAATACATCCGACACAAAACTATCGGTAAGTGAGTGCCCACACCCATCCATCCATCCATCCATCTCTCTCTCTCTGTCTGTGCGCACGCGTGTGTGTGTGTGTGTGTGTGTGGATGTTTGTAGCTGGCAACGAGACATTGGATCCGACCAGTCGTCTGCAGCACATATTTCCCTCCAAGCTCACACTCATCAAGACGCCCAAAATAGGAATGGGGTAACCATACACACACTCGAGGACGGCTTGCACATGTGTGTGTGGATGTGTGTGTGTGGATACGTGTGTAGGATGGCCCCTCCTGCTGGCTCGGCTGGCCTTATTCATGAGGCCATCCTGACCAGAGAGGAGACCAAGCTGAAACGAAAGGGACTTGTCACACAGGCACGTACCCATTCGCACGACACACAGACGCATTTGTGTGTCTGTATGTATGTGTGGATATGACAGGACGGGACGCAGTTTGTGGATCCATTGGCGCATGAAGAGGACCCCTTCACGACGGCAACACAAGAAGACAAACAAGAGACAGAGGAGGAGGTAGAAAATCGATAGACACAGAGAGGGAGAGAGGTATATGATGACAGACATGTAATACGTGTGTGTGTGTGTGCTTAGGCGCCCCACGCACGGGCCATGGACACCTCAGATGAAGACACCGACGTGGGTACTCTTGCACACTTTTCTTCACTCCCACACTACACCCACCGATTCACAAACATCCACACCCCACAAGCACATGTCATGCACGCGCAGGAAGAGGACGGATCTGATGAGGGCGAGGGCAAGCTTTGGGTGCCCAAGGACACACAGCTGGAGAGATCATACCGGTGATCGCTCGACCAACAGACATCTACATATACATGACGTATTTGTCTGCCGTCACATACACACATATGCAGAGAGAGGGCGCGTGAAAGGCACCGAAAGTGGATTGAGCAGGGGGAAGTGCAGAAGGTACTCACCATTCTGCATGCATACACACACACACACACACACACATGCATTCGCCGCTCGCCATTCACTCACTCAGGTGTGCAATCGCGTCCACAGGGGCCGCTCCTTCCTCTCAAAACCAGCCGTCATTCAGTTCAACGACTTCGACGTACACAAGCACACACATACACCACAGATGCGGAGGATATAAATGGAAAATGCGCACGTGTCTGTCTGTGTGTGTGCGTAGGTGGGTGAGGTGTACGCGCAGCAGGTGCAGCTGACCAACGTGAGCCTCTCGTTCAACCACTTCCGGACGATGCCCATCGAGGATAAAGCCAGAGACTTCTTCCATGTAAGCTTCGCACACACATGGATCGATGGATGGATGGATGGATGGACTTGTGCGTGTCGGTCGATGTGTGTATGTGTGAGTGTACAGGTGTCCTTGCCCCCGCCCGGCCGGATGTCTGCAGGCACCTCGTGCACTCTCAACATTCAGTTCTCACCGAAGGTATGTGTGCACGACAAATCTGGACAAAATGGTGCGTGCGACATGCATCTATCTACACGGAGCTGTGCGCATGTCATGGGTGCATGAAGGTGAATGAGGACGTGTACACTTGTCTGCCGCTGCTGGCCAAGACCGGCAGGGAGGACATCCCCATCGTCTGCAGGAAAAAGAGAACGGGTCTGTGCTTTAACACGCAGAGAGACATGAAGACGTGCAACACGTGTACGTGTGTGTGGCAGTGCTGGTGTTCGATCCACCGCAATCTGCAGCCGACTCATACATACACATCAGGATGAAACGAGTGCTCAGGTATGCCAGCCCAGCCCTTCCCCCCAAGAAACCTACTACCTGTGTGTGTGCAGGGGCGAGAGTGTGTCGTCCGTTCTGACGGTGAAGAATGAGGGGGCCCTTGCAGCCGACTTCCATGTACGCTGGGATCTGTCTGTTGAAAGCTCCTCCTCACACATACACACACACATACACACATACACACACATGTATGTCTCTCTCTCTCCTTTATCAGCTCAGGCCACTGATGCCTACAGAAGACTTGCAGGTAGGCACTCTGACTGACCTTTTCTTGCGTGTATGAGAGTGTCTGTGTGTCCACAACACCACAATGGACAGACGAGGGCCCGCCACCTGCTCACAGACGACGAGAAGCTCATCAACGAAATACAGCAGGAGACTGCATGTACGTGTGCGCATTCACACGTGAAAACAATGGTACGCATGTGTGCGTGTGTGTATGCAGCACTTGACAGCTCCCAAGCCTTTGTGGATCGCCTGGACATCGTCAGCAAGGAGGGCACTTTCATGGCACACGACACGCACAAGATCAAATTCACGGTGGGTGGGAGGGTGGGTCAGCGGCATCAGTCGCCCGCCACCCACTGTGTGTCTTGCTGTGCCTTGTGCGTGAAGTTTTCCCCAGTGGAGAGCGGCGTGTACACTGCCGCGTTTGTGCTGGACGCACAGAACACGGACAGCACTGTGGCCATCCTAAGGTGGGCTGGTACACTATCACAGAGCACAGCTGCGTATGTGTCTGTATCTGTGTGTGCAGCTGTGAGTGTGTGGATGTGCCGGTGTACATCGAGCAGCCGATCTATGACTTCAACACCATCACCTACGGTCAGCGAGACACACAGAGAGACAGAGAGAGACATATCAACGCACATGAATGTACCCGTGTGTGCGCTTATGGCTGGCAGGTCACACATTCCGCCACCAGATTGTGGTCAGCAACAGGTAAAAAAGCGGAAATCGCCTGTGTGTGTGTGCATACACAACGGAATGGACTGCACTGCAATGCAGGCAGCCGACGGCAATGAAGATATGGATCGACCAGCCCAGCCAGAACACCGAGGAGCTCTCCTTCAACCCCACCATGGCCTTCATACAAGTGTGTATGTCCATCTGCCCGTCTACCTGGCACACACCAATGGGTGTGTGTGTGTACACGCAGGGCCACTCGTCTCTGGTGCTCAACGTGCGCTTCGCCCCCCATGAGGGCTTCTGCACCCGACACCCACAATATACCGACCACCTACAGGAGCAACAAGACCAGCAGCAGCAGCAGCAGCAGACACAGGCACACAAATCCGCCCACACTTCTGTCCCCCTGTCTTTCTGTATGTCAGTGTAGTTGGGTGTGTCTGTCTGTCTGTCTGTCTGTGTGCAGGAGGGAGCGGCTGACGCGCAGGAAGAACAGAAAAGTGCTGATGACGTACGTACGTGAGACAGAGGGGGAGGAATAAGCCACAGAGAGGGCATGCAGACGAGAAAGAGCGTGTTAGTTAATGAATTCACGAATGCGCAGGAGGGCGGTGAAGACGAAGGGGGAAGCGCCGAGGATGCCGACGAGCAGCAACCACCAGCAGCAGCAGAGACAGTACGCACCACCAGCAGCAGCACACACGGATGTGCACGGGTGTCGTTCATCCATCAGGTCGCTGCGCCATCATCATTACCAGATGCTAGTGTGGTGTGCGATCGCTTCAACATCCCTGTGGTTGTCAGGGGTGCTGACCAGGTACCTACACGCCCACACACATATGGACATCAATGCGTGAATGCTGGGTACATATGCAGGTGTTGCCGGCGGTGACGCACCTCACAGGCACTCTCACTCTGGCAAAGATAAACATAACGCCCAAGTTCGTGGCTCGGCGCCAGCATTTGCATGGTAGCACCGTATGTGTCTCTCTGTGTTTGCAGGCAGCTGCATTTTGGCTCGGTGCGAGGGCAGGATTATTGATGACACAAACACATGCATCCCCGTGTGTGCCGACGGATGCAGGTGTTTGTGGGTACTGGCCGGTCGCTGCTGGTGCGGCTGACCAACAGATGCATGCTGCCCTGCACATACGGGCTGACCAAGATGAGAAGCATCTTCAAAGTGAGACATATCGTTTCCCCATGGGTGTGTGTGTTTATGTGAGTATGTGGACTGTTTCTTTGCTGTCTCTCTCTGTGTCTGTACCTCTCCGTGTCTCTCTCTGTGTGCAGGCTTTTCCCGTCGGATCGCAAAACGTAAGTTGACGTCACATGTGTGGCTCCATGTGTGTGTATTTGTCCGTGTGTGTGTGTGTGTGTGCGTGTGTGCGTGTGTGTATGTGTGTGCGTGTGCGTGTGTGTGTCAGGACGACAGCAACCAAAATGAGGACGAGCCACGTACGTATGTGCAGATGTGTGTGATGCACATAGACGTGCGTGTGTGGGTATGTGTGTGTGGCCAGCCATCGAGAAGGAAGATAGCATCGGCGTCATACTGGGTAGGCAAGCGTCACATCACTGACACAACACACCACAACACGTTGTTTTACATGCATGCAGGCGGCGACACGCAGCGCCTGATGGTCACATACACACCAGACGCAGCAATGGACATGGTAGTAAGTACACACAACCTACCTTATCTCATCTCTTTGTTTGTGCATGGTTTGTGTATGCACCCAGAGCGAGACGCTGAAGCTCAAAGTGCAATACGGCGACCTGTGTGCAAAAGAGGCAACCAACGACACACACCTGCCCCTTTGCGGGGCCTGCACACACCGAGACGCGAATGTTCTTCTGCAGGTGCCCATCAAGTGCACGGGCAAGGGCGTCTTCTGCCCAATACGCATATATCCCACCATATGCAAACTCGCCAGGTCGGTACACACAAGCGCATCCCCTGCGACCGGTGCAGACGTGTACACGTGTGCCTGTCTGTCTCATGTCTGTATGTCGACAGCATTCCGGTAAACGAGTCGGTGCGCGCGAGCTGCGTCATCCAAAATACCAGCACCAAAAGCCATGTGGTGAGTGAGTGAGTGGAGCGAAGGCCTGAAAATGCCAAGACGGATGTGTGTGTGCGTGTGCACACACAGACGGTCAACATAGCCTCTCCACCAGTAGAGCTCAGGTACCGTCCAGCACACACAAAAAGAAAGAGACAGCGAAGGAGAAACAAGAGACGCGCGCACGTGTACTACATGCATACAGCGTCTTGTCGATCGGCCCGCTGTACGCAAAACTCGCCCCTCAGGAGACCAGACGCATACAGGTCGGCAGCATGGACAGCGATGGACGGCTGCGTGTGCCTGCACTCTCGCGCACACACAGATCGCCTTCACACCGACGGAGGCTTATCGCACTCTAACAGACGACCCGAAACCCACACAGACAGACGGTGGGTAAAGATGCCACGCTTCTCTTCGTACTGATGCGATGCGTGTGTGACTGACAGCTGAGGGTACGGAGCAGAAAGAAGATGAGGAGAAAGAGGACGAGCAAAGCGCCACAGAGCCCCAGGTACGTACGGACCACCGATCGATGCACATATATGTGGACACAAGTACACACATCGTATCGTATGCATGTCTTGCATGCACAAATGTGTGAAGGAAAAAGCGGACATCGCCACGCGCATTCGACAATCCGGCGGGAGACGGTAGGTGGGTTGCTCTGTGACCACATGTCGATGCATGGCTGTGGCCAATGTGCAGGTACACCCGTCCCGACCGCAGCGACACTTCTGTGCACTGCAGCTGGAAAATACCCATTTACTTCCACACAGAAAGCAACAAGAATGGTATGACGGGATGGTGGGGAACGGACACACACACATACACACACAAACACAGAGACAGACCCTGTATGTGCATCGATCTTCCAGCTGGCAGCAGCCACACGGTCTTCATGGAAGCGCACACGTGCACAGTGGCGGCCTCACTGAGGTACCGATCCATAGGAATGTATTCACATATATCCACGCACACGAATCCACTGCAATGCAGATACGAGCCGTCTGAGCTGCGCTTCGGCGACGTGTCTGTGGGCGAGGAACGGTTCGGTTGGCGGGCACATCTGAGAATGAGACACACACACATATCTCCCTGCCTACTTATTGCTTTTGTGTCATGTTCGCCATCCATCAGTATAATGCACGTAACCCTCACCAACGCCTTCCCGCAGGAGGGACGCCATCACATTCGGTCGGTAATCCATCGATGCAGGACACACACCCACATTTGTGTATTTCTTGTGCCGTGTGTGGGTCTGAAGGGTCGACACTCTGCCGCAGTCCTCTGGCTTTGCGACAGTGAATGCGCCAAGACCTGTAGGCTTGTACAACACCACATGAATGAACACATGGAATTCTGTGTGTGTGACACTGTGTGTGCAGGTGGGCAGCCGCCCCTTTGCGCTGTCCGTGCGCTTCAAACCGCCCAGCACTCAGGTCTGTCTCTTTCTGTGTATGTATGCACATATCCGTGGGTGCGGGGGTGTAGGCGTATGTCTCAGAGCTGCGCATTCACTCAGAGAGGACCAGGTAGGTCTCTCTATCGCACAGACACACACACACACACAGAGAGAACGACAGACGGATCTGCGCATATGAATGCAGCGTCTCCCTCCCCCTGTCTGGCCGTGGAGTGACCCCCCTGTGTGCCCTCGTGCCAACAGACGGCATCGTTGACATGGACGCACTCGTCGATGGTGCGTACGCATCTATCCATCCATCCATCCATGTGTGCGTGTGTGAATGTATGGGCGTGTGCAGGTCACTCTGACTTCCTCACACAGACGGTGTCGATTCAGAATCCCTCTGCGTATCCCCTCCCCTACACGCTGGTTGAGTGTGTGCGGGAGCCGGCCAACACTGATGGGTCCGCGAAGTAGCTTAGCCACACGCACATGGATGTGTTAGGTGCCTATGTGTGGGTTTGGTGGTGTTTTCAGGCTGCCTGCCTTCTCTGTGGTGCCTGCCAAGGGCACGGTGGAGGCAGACGGGCAGGTGGACCTTACAGTGACATTCAGGTGAGCTTATCTGTCGGCCGGCAGGGGCACACATGTCCATTTCTGTGTGTGTGGGCTCGTAGGCCATTCAAGGCGAAAGACGTCTACAGAGAGAAGTACTGGGTATGTGCTGTACGTGCGTCTGGTACAATGTGCTTATGCATTTGTGCCGCTTCTGTGTCTTTGTCAGGTCAAGTGTCCGATATTCAACTCGCCCCCGCAGTACTTCTACCTCTACGCCACCTGCAGGAAATACCAAGTAACTACTCACTTACTCGGCAAACAGCCACACACACACACACACGTTTGTCGCGTTTGTGTGCTCTGTGCTCTTGTCCCATCCCCCCCAACACATTAACACACAGATGTACCTCACCTACGACGAGCCTCCATGCGCTTTCGACCGACAGGTGCGTACCTGCACTCTTACACATGCATCCTCTCCTGCCTATGTGTGTGTGCGTGCAGCCATCTGTCCACCCCCTGGCCACCGACATATCGGCAGCCGACGAGCCGCAGGAGAGAGAGGAGACCAAGACGCCCGAGGCAGCCAAGGGGAAGGCTGCTGCCGACAAGAAGGACAAGCAGCAGCAGCAGCAGCAGGCAGAGACACCAATCGACCCGTCACGCCAATTCCACCTGACCTTCGACAAAGAAAGCAGCACCGTCAGTTCCCCCAGCACCTACACACAGGCACAGGCATCAATGTGTGTGTGTGTGTGCGTGTGTGTGTGGTTGTGGTTGTGGTTGTGGTTGTGGGTGCAGAGCACGCAGTCGCTGTTGGTGTGCTGCTGCTGGCCGCCCGGCACCCGTGGGGAGGGCAAGGCCGAGGGCAAGGGCGGAGGCGGCAACTTTGATGTCGCTATCTTACAGGTCTCTCTCCGCTGTGTGTGTGCCAATTATATGTCTCTCCATCGACCCACACGTGTGTGTGTCTTCCCTGCAGTCCGATGCGTCCAAGTATTTCACCGTCGACAGCAGCAAGGGCACAGTGCAGAGCGGTCTGCACCCACACACACATCCACACAATTACGCGCACCACACGCACCACACACAAGGGGGCCTCCTTGTGTGTCACCGTTCCTTCAGGCGGCAGCCAGAAGGTGACATTCAGCTTCATGAGAGACGGCGATACTACAGAGGCACGCTGCACGCACACACACGTGATGAGGCACAGAGACAGACAAAACAGCTCTGCGAATGAATGCCTGAATGTCCTCCCCCTGCAGTCGGCAGCTTTGCCCATGCTGGCTGGCGTCGGCATGTGGGTCACTGCCCAAGCCAAGGTCGTGCTGTCGGGCGGCTATGTGCCCTCTGGCTGCCCGTCCACACAGGAATTCTCTGTCACTCTTAAGGCCTACGTGCTGCAAATATGAACATACAACAGATACACCTTTCTCGTGTCGATGAGCTCTGGGCTAAGTTGAAAGCGTGTGCAAGTGCGGCCGTGTTCGAGTGACTCATGAGCTGGCTGCAGAGATGCACGCATTTCATTCTCGCCCATGGACGAGCAGATACGAGCAGTCTTACTTTCCCATCCTACTTCTGTCTCTATGCGATGGCCACGCCACACACAACCAGCCCTCATTCTTGATAAAAGAAGGCACGTAAAAACATCACTCCCGGAAATGAGTAGACAAACGTGACTCACGCCAGTCACGAGCATCACACTCTTGGCCTATCTGGTTGGCCAATGGCCATCTGCCTTGCCTACATTGCAAGGCATCCACACTCGTCCTCCATCCGCCACGCCTTGCCCCCCAACTGCCGCCCTAGTACTCTCATCACGGTAGTGCGCGTGCGGTCGTCGGGGGCAGACTCTGTCGTAAACACTCTGACAGAACGAAGGTCTCCCCAATCCTCCACCCGAATCGCTGCCATGTTCCCCTGGCCCATCACCTCACTCCCCAGCACCACCAGCCGCTCATGCCATGGCCTCGCCCACACCTGCCACTTTCTGTCGAAGACGGCCGCCCCCGAACCCCACTGTGCCGCATCGCTTTGAGGGGCCGCCAGCAGCTCACGCACACGAAGAGATGCGGCAGAAGCACGACAGTAAGACGAACAGTCTCTGGAGAAAGTGATGTAGCTGCCGTCACGAAGCCAACTAAAGAGGCTGAACGCCACCAAAGAAGCGTAACTGGGGTACGTCCAGCCGTCCAGCTGTGTGGGCGGGTCGGCGGCGTCGAATGTGTCGCGAGGGAAGAGGGGGCTGGGTGCGTCGAGAAGGAAGGGGAGGCGGCAGCCATCCATCAGACGCATCTGTTGGCTTCCACGACGGACATTGACCTCTCGGCTAAGAACCCTCCATTGGCAGACCGCCTCGCGCTCGCCGATGAAGGCCGCCCGGCTGCCGAACGCGCTGAAATGCTCATCGCCCAGCACCAATGGGCTCTTCCCGCGTAGGTGATAGAGCAGCTCCAAATGGGGCCGCCACCTCCCCCAATCGCCCCCACGCTCCAGCATGAACAGCCATCGTGTGATGGCTACCATGATGGCTCGGTCCAGGGCCAGCTGAGGGACGGTCGCCTCCACAGATGCACCAAAGATGCCTTCCACCACGGCAGAAAGCAGTTGCTTGAGAATGGGCAGGAGGACGGCGGTTGTGAATTGGGTGGGATGGGCGTCGATGAGAGCCTCCAGCTGTGAGTAGCTCCTGACGTACTCGGCGACGGTCGGCACTGCCTCCTCAGGTACGTCAGAGGCACTGACGGCGCTATCATGCTGCTGCTGCTGGTTGACGGGCGTTGCAGTGCTGACACCTGCAATACCATCACACACACTCAGACAGCTGTGTGTCTGCACGATTGTGTCGTTCTGCAGCGATAGTATTGGTCACCGTTCGCAGCGTGTGTCGTCTTAGATATGCCAGCGCCATCATGATTGCATGTGGTGCTTTCTTTTTTCGCCTGACTCACCGTGAGTGAGGCCTTCAGCCATCGCCACAGGTTGAACATGCCGGCGAAGCATCCTGGCGGTTGGTCCATCTCACCCTGTGAGTCACAGATCCGCCACAAACACACAGAGAAATCACACACGCTGTCACGAATGACAACATCACCTCCTGCTGCCCACCCCACCGCACTTCAATTCGTCAGATCAACAACTGCAGCCAGAGCGATGAGGGCGACCTCTGTGCCGATTGATATCATCACAGCGCGACTTTGTGTATGTCACACAGACCCACCACCGCCCTGTTGGCACCGGAGACGCGCGAAAAGAAAAAGGAAGGAGAGATCCGTGCGAAGCTCGCAGCGGTGGCCTTTGGAGCTCCCTGAAACCGCTGCTGGCCTTTGGAGCTCACTGGAGGGTGAGATGGCAGCCAGAGAGGCAGAAGAATCCAAAAGAAGCTTCAGATAGCGGCTGCTGCTTCGTGTCTGGTGGCCGGCCTGCAGACCTCACCCGTCCCGCCTCAGTGCCGGGAGGTGACGACGTCCGCATAGCGAACTCATTTCATCGCTTTGTCTGCGCTTCTGTGACGGCCTCGCCGTCGCACGGCTCTCGTGACTGACTGACATCGGTGAGGCTGTGCGGTGATCATGGCGCTGCGTGCGTGCGCCCCAGATGTGTGTGCTGCTGTGTGTCTGCAGAGTCACCGCGGTTCGTGACGATTGCTGCCATCTCGCCCAGCTTTGACGGTGAGCATCCTGCCGTCCAATTCACTCGGTCTGATTCCCATGTGTGTGTCCCTCTTCATCCAGACCACTCCCTGGTGGCGATGTCGTCCCGGCCTGCCAACGGCCGGCCCCCCACCGCCCCTCGGGCAGTCCCCCCGCTGCGCAGCGCGGCCATCAGCAAGGCCGCCGACATGGCCATGTCCGTTGACCCCAACAGACGCGCCGCACTCCACTCACAAATCAATGGCAGCAATGCCGGCGAAGTGGCCGAGATCCTGATGCTCGTCGAGCAGCACATTGGCAAGGCCCTCAGTCATCTCGGCCTGGCGGACGTGTTGGCCTTCGACAGTGGCGGTGATGTGGAGGCCGGCTTGAAGGTGGTCTACGCGCTGGAGCGGGGCAGTGGCGAGGAGTGGCGGGCGATGGGACG